ATACTAAAAAGATAATGATTTATTTTTTTTTTTTAGGTGAAACCATTTTTTCTAATAAAATTTATATAAGGTATTAAGAGGTCTTTTCATTGTGCGTGCTATTCTGAAGAAGATATGCTTCATGTTATACTAAAAGTTCTGAAATTTTGGTAATAAAAAAAACTTTAAATAAAACATTTCAATAAAATTTGAAAAACAAGTTTTAAAATTTACCAAAAAAATATTTATGATATTTTTACCTCCATGTGGATATTTGACATCTACATTGTAAGTTGTTCTGTAGTGAAGTCTATATAAATAAACTGTGGATGTAAAAGAGTCACCTTTAATCGACGACTCTGTCTCTTAAAACGGTTTTAACATAACCTATCCATGTTATACCAGGTATTATCTAAATAACCTATTGATTGCAATTCTGTTTTTAAACTTATAATTTTGTAAATTTTCAAATATGATCTAAACCACTGCTTAAAGATTTATTTTAATTTTCATGGGTGTTTTGTTTTGCAGGTATATCGAAAATATCTGAGTTTCCACTGTCGACAGAAGGTATTTATTGCACGTTCTAGATTTATAGTAACAATAGTGTTAGCAAACAAATCTCCGCGGGTTAAAAACTGATTGAGATCTAGTCAGTGAGTCTTGACATATTTTTATAGCGCAAGATGGCTTTTGAAGTCAGAAGTCTAACCATGCACGGTTATGTAAGCGGGATCACTTTAGAGTGAGGATTTTGCAATATTGTAAAAATGAACTTTTAACCCGGAGAAATTAAAGTATTGTTTAAATTTCATAATTGCTTAAATGTTGCTCAAATTTCAATCGAAAGTAGAGATCCATGACTTTTACAATAGAATTTTAAAACTTTTTAAGACTTAAAAGGTGTGGTGTGATATAAGACAAGGACTTTCTCCCGTCAAATACGACTTAAGTTTGCAGTGACTAGGAGTCACATTCGCCTTTATTTACATTTAAAATGTCTTTGTCCGAGATAAAATTACAAATTAAAAAAAATTCTTTATTTCTACATAAATTTACTGGTTTATCGATATGCACAGTTAAAAAGGACCATGTGTGGGCGGGAAAATGGGAACAGAAACAGGTTTTAGAGCAAGTGAATTTGTGAAATCAAGGCATGTGAATATAAGGAATAACTGTCAGTTTTTTTATTTCATGACAATTATCAATGGATTGCTTTGGCGTATATGCAAATTATCACACAAGCCACTCGATTGATCACATTATAAAATCAAAAGAATTAGACAATTCCTCCTCAATTAAATGACACCATATCTTGGCTTCTTGGGGCATGTATTTAATAATGTAGTATTACATGTCTCTCCTACATTAGAGAGCTATGTCTTCCAAATAATCCTGTCCCTGATTTCAGAGGTTCATATTTACTGTGCTCATAATTTGAATTGTATGATTGGACTGTTGAGCATGATTATTAGTAATCACCTTTTCCCTAGTTATACTTTCCTTTCCTGAAAATAGGTTTTTCTCCACTGAACTGATTACCGTCTTCCTTGGAAGACGGTATTGTATAGTTGAAGTTTTTTTACAGTCTTCGGACTATGCACTTCCTCTCTTTTTGTGATTGGTAGAAATTGCATGATGAGAAAATTTTCCATTATTTCATTGGTTGAAATGTTGTTCAAGGCAAGGGAGATAACTTTCTGATGATTTATTTTTCGTACGGCTTAACAATTTTGCAAGATTTCCAATCTTAAAAAAATGACAAAACGAACAACAAAATCAGCAGTAATTATTTCTTAATAACATGATATTTTTTATAGCAATAAATAAAAAAGGTCTCTTTAATTTCATTATAAATAAAATTTGATAGTTATTGCTAGCAGGCTTTACAATTTGTTATTATTCTTTTCCCCTTTCTTGTTTGAAGAGTGAATGGGAATCAGCCGAGGTTTGCCGAAAGCTCTCGGCCAGTCAAAGTTTACGGAGATGACCGAGCGACAACCGTGGTAGGGCTAATGCCCTTAAAAAGCTAATTTAGAAATACAAAATCAAGAAATTCAAAAGAATTATACGGCTTGTTAAGTGTATATCTGTTTACTGTTTAAAATTGTTGCTAAAGACGGTAAGCTTTTTTGAAAAGCTCAACTTGTTTTATTGATTTCTTCACAATTTTACAATTGCATAGCGAGATTTTAATGTAAACTATAAAGATGACAAAAAAAAAAACAACATATATATGGCATGCGTTAGTGTGAGGATAGACAAATAGTACAACTATAGGTTTAGATCTTTTCTAGTTTGAGGAGCACGTTTGAGTAATTTTCATAACAAATACACAGAGTCTATTTTTTTAAAATGGCTGTTTATCTGAATTCATTATTTCTCTAAATGTATTTGTATTTTTGAATTGTAATTGTTTTTGTGTTAAACATTTGTTTCTTTCACGTGTCATTGACATACAATTTCACATGTTATGGAATTCATCTCCTATTTCATTTAATTGGCATTTCTTGTATAATCTAATCTCTCTTAGTTCATTAAACCAACGTTCAGTTTTAATCTGCAATTAAAATATTTTTGTTATGTAATCCTTAGTGCTTTTAGTACATTACATGGCATAATAGATTTGGATATTTAAAACCTGTACATTAAGTCACCTGTAACCGTACATTAAGTTGACAAAACTCTCAATTCTTAACTTAATCGACAGCGTTTTGTCAACTTAATGTACAATTAAAGGTAACTTAATGTACAGGTTTTAAATGTTGAAAACAATACATAATTAAAATAGGCAATTAAATTTTTGATTTAATGCACAATCATACATAAATATCAAACAATTGTATATGAAATGTTCAAAAGTATGTCATCTTTGGAAATGACAAAACCAATGCAAAAAAGACACATGTGTAAATCCTGATGCATAATAATTTTAGAACATCCATATTCAAAAGTTTCTTTATTAAATACAAACGTCTCATCCTCTTCACAAAATTTGTTAATGAATTCTGGACGTGGTAGATCCATTCCATGAATGTTTAAAATATATCCAACAGCAATTTAAAATTTAAAAGAAAAAAGGTTATTTCCAGATGAAAAAATAATCTCACTAGATGCACTGCAGGTGGAATCATTTTTGGGACAGAGATCACAAATTTTATCTTTTCATACACATCATCTGAATCCTTCATATTTCCATGAATTATTCCATTTACTCTCTGTTGCTATTTATTGTTGGTTCAATTGTAGGATATCTGTGGCCCGTTTTTTTCTGTTATAAACTGTTTCCTCAAACTTCATACAAGGGGGTCGCCGTTGTTGTTCTCAAAGAATGTTTCGTATCACAGTGTCCCTTAAATCCTGATTGTTAACAAAGATCTGCGATAGTTTTTGTCAAAACTTGAACACCAACTTCAGAATCTGTAAGCCTACAAGCTTCTGCTTGTGTCTACCTACCACACTTTGGCCCGTATTTTGGAGAAATATGTATTACTTTCTCCATCCGATGAAGACATCTTCACTCATGAAGCTTTACATGGGACGTGGTCACCCCTGAACAGTGAACTATCATTTAAATCTAAATTTACCTGGCACTGTCCATTAAGTTAAACAATACAGCTACTGTTTTCGCCCCCACTTTCTGGACAATCAAATGTGTTACGTTATCATAGCAAATACATCACCATCACCTGGGACAGTTTATTAAGTTAACAATAGAGAAAATGTTTTAAGTTGGATAAAGTCCTCAAACTGTCCATTCTGTGAGAGAAAAAACTATTCTCGGCCCTTCGGGCCTCGAACAGTTCTTTCTCTCACAGAATGGACAGTTTTCGGACTTTCTCCTTTACATAATGATAACAAATACGAAATTTGCAGAAATTTATGACTTATTTTCGTGATAGAATTTCTAAATATTTTTTCAAATTTCAGTTCGACTTTGTATCTTCTATAATTTAGGGTTTTTGATAAATTTTGAACATCCGAATTCCATTTTTGTTTAAATTGATCTATTAAAGTTAGTTTTACTTTCGCTCTTAACCAATTTGGATTGAACGCTTGACTGTTCCAAATATTTGAAAGTCCACAATTGTTTAAATATTCAAGACATTATTTATACAAGCAATCTTCTTAGATTTCGATTTACAATATCATTTAATTTAAACAGCAGACTTGATATGTTTGCTTCTTTTCCAAGTTTAAGATTACACCAGTATGAAATACATGTAATACGCGTTTATATTGCAATGGACATGGGATGTCGACCGAGCCCACCATACACCATAAAGTCCGGAGTAGATTGTTTAAGGTTAAAAGTAATTTACAAAATTTTAGATGTACTCTGTCTACAATTGCATTGCTCGAAAATCCCCATACTTCACATCTGTATAGCAATATAGGCTGAACAATTTTATCGAACAGCTCTAACTGACATCGTATTGATAGATTATGTAAGCGGTCTTTCTTAAGAATTTCAAATATTGCTTTATTTGCCTTGTCAACTTGTTTCTGCTTTGCTTCCTTGAATGAACCTGGCTTACTTAATAAAATACCTAAATAATTAATTTCATGAACAACTTCAATCAGCTGTTCGCCATGTTTTAATTCAGGCTTTTCTTTTTTCTTTCCTTTTCTTATTATCAAAACTTTTGTTTTGTTAATATTAATCTTTAAATTCCATTTTTCTGCAATAATTTTCAAAACAATTTTTGCTTGTTAGTGCTCGGCAGATTCAGCTATCAATACGGTGTCATCGGTATAAAATAGTGCAAATAATGTCAAATACTCATTTAAATGAAAGTTGTTCAAACATAACAGATATAGTGGGTAAACCAATTGACATATTTTATTGGAAAAATTATGTAGGCCATTTACATAAATTGAAAATAAAAAAAGCGACAAGTTTTCACCTTGTCTGACACCATTTTCACAACTTAAAACATCAGTAGCGCTATTATCATTGACTATCCTTGATTTGATTTGATAATACATTATATTCGTAATAACTTTGTGCATATTACAGATTTATCAAGCGTTATCCAGCCGGATATGACAGGGAAAGTAGATCAGACACAGTTGTTTAGTAAGTTGTTACTCAATATGTGGTAATATTAATTATCTGGAAAGGGTCAGTTGTTTTTTAACATTACATATATACCGATGTAAATCAATAGCTATTAACTAATAATTTTTTTCCAGTTTTTATAGGATCTACAGTTGTTGTTCTTTTCGTTGGCATCCTCATTTTTAGCGTGATAGCAACGAGGTACGTACCAAGCTATTCGTTTCACAACAAGAATTTTTTTTCTGAACAGGACTTGGGGTTTGGTTTTTCCCAATTATGATTATCGAACATATTCTTCAAAAACAATTCTTATACGCATTTAAACTTCAAACGAAATATAATAGCTATAAATTAGGAACTAATAATTAAATCTTAAAATCTACTCTCAGTGAGGATTAAGTATTGTTTTTGGTGATCCTTTGTTGGATACCAAATCCCATACATTATGTATATGATTCACTTCTGTACAATATGTGCTATTTTGCGATCCTATCACAAATACAAATAAAACAATAAGATTGAAATCATTGCAATTTTAACAAGACCAAAACGGACTTCAATTCCCCACTTAACTATCGCTTTGTATATATGTCTAGGAATGATTTTTCAGGAAAATAATTTTAAAAAATTCAGGTAGTAAATGATAAAAAATGATTAAGAAATTAAAAAAAAATACAGATATAATTACCAATAATCAAATATATGACGCACAGCAACATTTTTATGCCTTGGAATGATTAACAAACACGGGAAAATAAAACTTAGAAAAGAAAGTGAAAAAAAAAATACTCTGTAGAGTAACGACCAGACACACCTTTGCAAGACGCAGAGCAAGTGTTGATTTAATTGTAATATTGAATGATATTTTGATACAGAAAAAATAAAAAAAAGGCAAAACGCTCTTGAAAAAAGACTCAAAGAACTTTTGTACTTCCCTACCATTCCGAGAACAGAATCTAGTCCATATGAAACCAAATTGACCTTCTCAAATGATCCGTACAATGATCCCAATTATGATATTGTTGAAGAAGAGGAAAATTATGAACATTAAAGTAATACATTCCTAATATGAAAAAAAGTTATGAGAATGTTAATCCCTATATAGAGTTGATAGACGATTCTGTTGAAGGTAGGGCTACAAGGGCAGAAAACGAAACTCCAGCTTACAAAGAGCGAATAAGTGTAGCTTCTTACTTGGATCTGAGAAATCAGGAGAGTAACTATCTTGAAGTAATGCAGCCTTCAAAAAAGTAATATGAATGTAAATCCCTACACAGAGTTGATAAATGATTCCCTAATAAGTACCGTTAGAACGCAAGGTAATGATGAATAATAGTTAATGAAGAATACAACAGCAGCCCTGAAAATACAATACATCAGGAGACCAATAATTAGAAGAAATATTGGATCTTTCGAGTCTTTTTTTAGGGAAGGGGGTTAAATCTTGTTATTCTCAGGTCACCGTAGCCTAGTGGTCGGGAGGCTCGGGTTCGATTCTCGATCGCGGCACCGCGTCATACCTAAGACATAAACAAAGACAGTGACTGTTCCTTCGCCAAGCGCTCGGCACTAGAAGTGAAAGTCACAGGTCTTTTGGATATGATCTTTAAAAAAACGTAGGTCCCGTGTCACGGTAGGCGCTGGCACGATAAAGAACCCTCACTGCTCAATGGCCCTGAGTGCCGAGTATAGGTCAAAATTTGAAGCCCTTCACCGGCATTCGGTGACGTCTTCATATGAATGAAATATTTTTAAGAAAGACGTTAAACAATATACAATCAATCAATCATTTTTGATAAAGTTATGTTGTTAAAAAATACATATGTTGAAATGAAGAAACACAATTATTATTATTTATTTTAAAAGACCTCCGCTGAATTAATTGATAAATTTAAAAAAAAAGGAATCATAAAATGGGGAAACTTATTCTTTTTATATGTAAAATTTTATGTTTTGGATCCTGTAATAAACAATTTTTAATCTTTTTGGGGATATATCTGTTAGAAAAGTGAAGGGGTAAATAGTTATTATGATGTCCGTCTGTCTGTGCCTTCGTAAAAATGTTCGTTTGTGCGAGTGTATGTTACGTTTTGAAGTAATCACCTCTTTTTCACAAAACCTCTATACCACTGAATAAAATTTACTGAGACTTTTAAAAAATCTTTTCTAAGTAGTTCCATTGTACATGTGCATGTCCTATTTCACATTTAGATTCATTACCCTTCTGGATTTTCTTTACAAAACATAGAAACTGGCTATCAATAACATTTAAGGATATTCATCCCGTACACCAGGTTATCCTATACCACTCAATGAAATTAAACGTCGTCTTGGAATATCTTATTATTAGGTTATGTCACGGTGCACAAACTTTTGATGTGACACTTTTTTCGAGTCTGTCAGAGCAAAACCTGGGTTTGGCCATTATTATCAGATGGAGGCGTGGGTATAGTTTGGTGAGCTTAGTGTTCACAGTGCCTCTACTTTCTATAGTTTAAACTTAGTTTGCATGAGAAATGAATTTTATTAAACAATAAAATGCTTTCTTTGTTTGTTGTTACTGGAATGAACGGAAGCAGCTGTTGCAGAAAAAATACATAACCCGCGTAAGCGGGTAATGTAAATTTTTTCTGCAATAGCTGCGACCGTTCATTCCAGTAATAACAAACAAAGAAAGACATTTTATTGTTTATATTTATATCTGTTTAAATAATCAATTAAAGTAGGATTAAAAAGATTAATTATTGTACTAATGACGCGAACGTCTTTATACGTTTCATTGATGGAACAGCCACTAATTAAGAAATATTTACATCCACTGAATATTTTCTCCTTTATTTCTTAAGAAACCCCATTGCGTTCATCACTGCATAAACTACAGTAGGCAGGTCGCCTGGTACAGATTTCTTAATCAGTGGCTGTTCCATCAATGAAACGTATAAAGACGTTCGCATCATTAATACAATAATTAATATTTTTAATCCTACTTAAATTGATTATTTAAACAGATATAAATATAAACAATAAAATGCTTTCTTTGTTTGTTGTTACTGGAATGAACGGTTGCAGCTATTGCAGAAAAAAAATTACATAACCCGCTTACGCGGGTTATGTATTTTTTTTCTGCAGCAGCTGCTTCCGTTCATTCCAGTAACAACAAACAAAGAAAGCATTTTATTGTTTAAATCTGTACAGGTGAAATGCCTATTGTAGTTTATGCAGTGATGAACGCAATAGGGTTTCTTAAGAAATAAAGGAAAAACATATTCAGTGGATGTAAATATAAATGTTATAACTGAATTAAAAATAGCTTCGCTTTTGGTTACTAGCATTTATACAGGTATGTCATTTCAAAAACTACATTTATAATCAATGTTGTTGCAAATGGTCAATTATTATAAAAATATGTTTGTTAGATTTTAAATAATGTACTCATTTTTGATATGTCTTTTAACGCAGAAAAATGCTTTTGAAAAAGAGAAGAAAAGAATTACTGCGCCTACCAAGTCTTCCAAAGATGCAAGAGAGTCCATATGAGGCCAATTTTACCTCACCAACTGATAATTACATTGACCCAGATTATGAAATGATTGAGGAACAAGACGAGGGTTATAAACATCTTGGTGAACAAAGAGGCGGATCTTACATTGATCCCGATAATGCAGATGGTACTTACCTTGATGTAGTCCCTACCTCAAACGACAAAAGTGACGGCCGTTACATTAATGTTAACCCTTATATAGAGGTTATAGACGATTCTACTGAAAATAACTCTGTAACGGAAGCTAGTGATGAAGTCCCGCTACCTGTAGTGAGATTTCCGAAAACATGACATCAAATTAACTATTATGCAAATATATATTAAAAACGTAATCTACCTTAAGATAAGCCAATATAAAGGACATGCAAATGCTAAACGATAGCATATAAAACAATATATAGATCTAAAAGAAAAACTTAAGTAAAGAATATTAATATCAAAGGAAGTAAAAGCATGATTTCTTTCCTGTGTTGTAGTCCATCAGGCAAATAAGTGATTGCAAGACAAATTATGGAATCATTAGATAGTTTTGGTAGAAAGTGAAAAGTAAAATCAGATTGGACTTTATACTGTTTGATTGCTTGGTTTGATTTGAAGAGGAAAAATTTCAACCTTTGATATTCTGTGAAAAAACAAATATAAATGATATTTAAAATTTCTAAACGGAGTAAATTCGGCTGCTTTAAGGTAAGGTTTGCGTCTCCCTCCAACTTAATTTTTTTTTAATATGCACACATGCTATATATCAATTTATTCAGGGAGATTAGCTTCATCATTTGATATGATTTTCAAAGATATTGCCCGTCCCATTTTTTTAGTAAAAGACGCCAAATTTAACGTATTTCATATTTCATCTCGAATATTATTTTCATTCAAAAATTAATTTATTTTATAAATTATCAAACTTTTATAATTAAAATGACCTGAATAAGTATAATTCATGCTTCTATTATTTAAACTTTTAATTTTCCGTTATCAAAAATGTGAAAATTTTGGTAAAAAAGAAGATTTTTCAATTTTCCTTGATAAAGTGAAACCGTTGCCATGGCAACAAAAATATAAAAAATCAACGTTTTACATATCTACCGATTCCATCAAAATCCATGAAGTTATTAATTTGTTCATTTTCATTAATTTGAACTAAAAAAATATGCATGTCCCCAATATTATTTCCATGGAAACAGGGGCTATATTATGGGTTCGGAACATAAAAATCAGGCTTTTTCTACACTTTTAAAGACAAAATTGATATCACCTTGTCATGGTGAATGTTAAAGACTAAATGTTATTTTTGATATTGTTTTTAGGCATAAATTGGCCAAAAATATTCAAAATAAAACTCCTCCTGTGCTACATGATGGTCTAAAAATTTATTCCATGGAAGAATTCTAGTATTTATGGCAATCTTCACATCTGAATATTCTGATGAAATTGTCCATGAATTATACTGCAACACCTTTGAAGTACATGTATATGTATATAAACATACTTCAGACCATGTTGCAACTAAACCAATTAAAAGCCTATGAATTTGACCTCATGCTGATTTAGTTATTCCAACATGTAGTAACTTCTAGACATCTTTGTAGCAAAATATCTTTATTCAGTTATGGCTGGTGACTGTCATTATACATGTATGCCATTTTTTGAGTGAAATGTTGTAAGCATTGCATCCACGAAGCTGCTGTTTTTATAATTGAATGATTTCTTTACTTCGAAGAGTAGAAATACTATCTTTAATGTAATGTTTGTTTGCCCTCTCTTGACTCAGGGTAAAATTATTGGGTTGGAAAGTGAGAAAATTAATCTTCAACAACATTTTTTCAAGGGGGATAAGAGGAATTAAAAAAAATACGGCCCTGCATTGAAAAAAAGTTTTCAGTCTGGTCATTTTAGTCAGTCAGTCTGGAGAGGCCGACAACCAAACATTTTTTAAAGATGGCCTACTTCTACACTTCATGGACATTAGCTCAGTCATTGGATTAGTAGTCTGAGAATCTAAATTGAAATATCAGACAGAACAAAAAAAAAATGAATTCTAAGTGACATCAATTCATACTTTAATGAATATACAGAGTACTTCTGATTTCAGAGAAAAGGCAAATTCTGCAAAATGACATAACACTGTAAATATTTGTCAAGAACAGGGAAAAAGAAACAATGCTACAGTGATAGATATATCTCCTTGATATCCATGAAATAATAATTGAAATATAACAATTTTTTTTTCCTTTTTAAAATCAAAATACAGAAAAAAAATTAAAAGATTATAAATGTAAACAATTTTAAAATAAACTACATAAATTTGTGAAAGATTTTAATTTTAGTAGATTACTAAACTGGTCTTATCATTCCTACTAAATTAACAACCTTACAATTTCCAAGTGTCATGTTTTAAACTGTTACAGTAGATATAATTATACATGTTCACTGCAGCTTTATGTACAAAACTCATCAGTTTTCAGAAATACTTATTTGAGCTTATTAGGTCCTGGTAAGAACAAAATTTAATGAAGAAAAAATATTAATCTTAAATGTTCATGTATTAATTTCCTTGCAATTTTACAAACCCTTTTAAGAAACTTGTTACATGTAAGTATAGACAAAAGCAACCTTCAATTAATACCTATGATGTATACATTTATTTTACTGAAAACAAATTCAAAGATAGACAAACAGAGCAAGGAATTGCACTGAGTTTCATTTAACTCAATGAAATGAATAAATTTGCAATATAATCAATGAAGAATCAATATGAAATCATTGTAAAATTTACAGATTGAATTAGTGAAATGCAAATACTTGATCAAGAAAATTAATGTTCTTGTCATGCACAATCTGTATCTCTTTTTTATTAATTAGAAAATGAGATATTAATTAAAATCATACCTCATTTAAAAAGGTAACTTGAACAATTGAATACCTGTTCCAATAATGTTACAAATATTAGGCCTAAAAAGCAAGGATTTTATTTTCATAATTTCTTGAATAAATGCATTTTTATTTTTTGGCAATGTTGGGATATTAATCACATTCTGACATCCTTGTACCGTTTATTCATCGTTTTTAAATCCGTAGTCAGTAGATCATTCATAACTTTCAGTAAAATGATTAGTTAAATAATTACCTGATAAAAATACTATTAACAATCAAACTGTCAACATCATCATTGGACATGGTCAAATGCACCTTGACTTTTCTTCCCTGTTCGGACTGCATATAGCATAATACTTTACAGGATACTCTCAGGTCTTTTCTTTTTTCTTTCCCATTCTCACTTAAAATTTTAGTGTAGCGTTGAAGCGAGAAACACACAACAGCACAATGCGTCAATGACTTTCTTCTGATCGGAATGGCCGTGCAACTTGCCACGTTCCGTATCGAAAATAAACAAGTCCTCCTTTATTGGTTCATCCACATGCATCACGCTAATCTCTAAGGCTTCCAAGATTCCTATGCTTTGATATGTTATAGGACTTTCTCCTGAAAACGTCCTTTGTTTTTAGTCATAACAATAAGTGACAACACACATCAAGTATGACAGAGGAAATTCGTTACCGAGATGCTTAGCATCGCTGGTTTAAATTCGCCTATTTCAAACGCTTTGGTGATTCACAAGAGTTATCTCCCTGTAAACGCAAACCTTACCTTAAATGCAGAGAGAGAGAGAGAGAGAGAGAGAGAGAGAGAGAGAGAGAGAGAGAGAGAGAGAGAGAGAGAGAGCTAATACAATCTTAACACATTTTTAGAAGAGAATTTGAAAAAAAAAAGAAGAAAAATATATCTTAACCCGATCCATGTATTATACAGGTTGGGGGGAAACGTAAATTCCGCTATAATAGTGGTATTTCACTATTATAGTGAAATTACGCTATATTTCCCGTCGTGGATACCCTCAATTTCACCCCATACCATGCAAGGCGTTTGAACCGCACATCCTGGTGGGTATTACAATGAATAAAAACTGTCATGCTTGCATGTTTTGAATTTTAATAAATTTTCTACCGTTGCGTTTGAAATTGCGAGCACTCTTTTTTTAACGGAAGTTGCATTTTTAACATGGCAACCGATGATTGCGGGGATATATAAGCCTGTTTGAATCTCAATTATTGCTCATTAATGTACACAAATTAATATTTGTTACAATTGTCAACTTAAACTGGAAAGGGTTTATTGAATTAAACAAGAAAAAGATTATTTCTGTCTGCATGGTTACGGGTATGGAGGCTCGTTATGTTAAACGGAAAAACCCATTACATGGCAAACATGAAAAAGAGTGTATTGATAAACTTGATATCTTTTCTCTTAACAAAATCAATTTATGATAAATAATCCAAAAATTACATATGTAAACGATCCCAGAAAATATTTAAATTTTCAATATCGGCTGGTTAATTGTTTATTTCAGAAAAAAAAGACTTAATTTATTTCGGTGTCGGTAATATTTTACAAGAGTGTCTGTAACCTTATTTTAACACATGTTAAAATAATTATGATTCAACAATCTTTTAGCTCCGCACAAATGTATCTTATTTAACATTTTATGGTTATGCACTCAGGCAAAAATGATTTAACTTTAAATGAACTATATAGGGTTTCTATTATAGTTTGGCCCCCGTTTTTGTTACAATTTAAACGCCAATAAACCTCAATGAAATTGATATTTTTTGAAAGATTAGAATTTATACTTTTCTTTTATGGTTAAATTGATATGTTGATTTAAGTAATATGCAGAGAATTAAAGGCTTAAAGTGACTAAGTTTACAAGAAAAAGCCTAAAAGTGGCATTTTTAGCATCGTTATCGGCGATTTTAGGTATGTGCGACGCCTTGAACAAGAAAGATATTTACACACGTAAAAGATATTTTCAAAGAAAGTCTTCATTCAAAAAATTAATCTTGTTCATAAAGTCGCACACACTTAAAAAATTTAAAAAAACCTTGAGAAAAATAGCACTTTCTGACTCGCGTGACGTCACAAGCATGTACGGAGAAAGACGACGACGTTGTTGACATGTGTTGAATTTTTTTTATTTCGAAGGTAGCATCATCTATCGATTGCTTCATGTATATTTTCGACATAAAGTTCGAGACATATCTATTTTTGAAACATATTTGTGATTAAAGAATATATTTTATCGGGATCGACATTAATCTGTTGATGTGTGAATGTACAGGTGTGGATCACAAGGAAACGATGACCGAGTTTGGGTAATTGACCAGCGAGAGATCTTTTTCGTGCCATCTCCTACTACACACGGGACCTCAGTTTAAACGAAGGACCGGTCGCCA